ACACCATCCACACCATAAACAGTGTTGGTGCTGCACTGCTTCCCCCCCCTGAGACGCCGGATGGTGGACCAGAATCGCCAAAGTGTTTAGTAGATTTAAAAATAAATTTCTGGTGGAGTATGCACCTTTACTATTTTATGCAGATACAGGGGGTGTGTGTGTGTGTGTGTGTGTGTGTGTGTGTGTGTGTGTGTGTGTGTGGTTTAAATAGCAGGGTGTTTCCAAAAGAACAAGTTCTTAATGGGATCTTTTATGCAACAGAAACCACAGAATTCACCTCTTTATCTCTTACATATGATACTCAGCTTAGTATTCAGTATTCAACATATTCAGTTGCTAATATTTTTTTTAACGTATTGTTTAGATCAGTGGTTCCAACCCTGGTCCTCAAGTACCCCTATCCAGCATGTTTATTTGTTTCCCTGCTCTTCAGCAGGTCTTCAGAAGATTGTTAATCACTCATTCATTCAAACCAGGTGTGTCAAATCAGGGAAACATCTAAAAATCACAGATTTAAATGTTGACCAACACCTCAAAAGCTTCTCTGAGCTTGACGAGACATTTTCAAAATATAATATTGACTAGTTTTATGGGTTTTTTTTTTTAATTGCCTCTGGAAGCCATTGATTCTTTGCCATTTATTTGTAAATAATAAATCCGAAAACATGTATTAGTGATTCTCAACCCTAGCCCCAAGGACTCCTTTCCTGCATGTTTAGATGTTTCCCTGATTTGACACACCTGGTTTGAATGGATAAGTGATTAACAATCTTGTGAGGACATGCTGAATAGCAGGGAAACAAGTAAAACATGCTGGATAGGGGGTACTTGAGGAGCAGGATTGGGAACCACTGGTTTAGATACTTCTATGGAGGTGTGTTAAGATGTAATAGCATGATAGACCATCGAGAATAAAATCAAATTATACCTAACCCTAAGAAAATCCATGCAAAACACATGCAAGTTGACAGCAGACGCGTGGCTTTCCTGGGTGAGATGCAGGTTAAAAGAACAATGGCAAACTGAAGGAAAATACACATACATAGGTAAACACAAGCAAATGCAGAATTCATAAAAGCCTTAAAGTAACAGACTTCTTTTAGGAAAAGAAAGCTGTAGTACATGAATATGTTGAGTAGTTCTACAAAAACTTAAACGAATCCACTAATAGGCAGAAAAAAATATGAGTCTATGTGCAAAAAGCTAAATGTGGCTCAGAGATTTCACACTGTGATAAAAACTGGAAAAACACACATTACTAAGAGCTATAACTACCTACAAATAAGGAAGAAGGATTTCTTAGTTGAAAACAGGTTTTATGGTGCAATAATCATACAGRTTTTATAACTCTGCATTGCAGTACCAGTATATCACTCTAACACAAGTGTTCAAGAGTCACAAAAAGAAATGTTGCTGCAGGATCACATGTATTCTTATTTTTTACCTCGTGTAAATAGGCTACTTTGTTATTTTGTTCTCATCTTCTCACAGAAATAAACATGGCTACTGTTTAATGATATTAGTCTCTCTTTTTTTTTTCATTTCTTGACAGCATACTAAACAGTTTTCATGGGATAAACTACAGAGATGTAAATGAGTTTAATTGGAGCAGTAGCAGCAGCCTGCAGGGTGCTACAACTGTCAAACCGAAAACGTCAACAACGCTTTGAAGCCTGCCGACCCTAAATCTCGGCTAGCTAGCTAACTCACTGCACCGCCGCTCTCTGGCGCTAACCTTACCTACGATGTTATATTATTTCTATTACCGTTTCGAAATGCAAAGACCYGGTCTTCAAAAAAGAGGGAATACTGTAGAGAACAGACACCGACAGCCCGCTGGTTCAGCGGTCAAGCTAGCAGGTAGTGGGACACAGATTAACGCTCTGTATTACCTTCAGCGTTTCCCCCCGAGTCTCAACCGAGGCCTTTCAGTGAAGACGCGACTGGAAATATGTTCGTCCTGTGCTCATATGTCTTATTATTGACATGAGGATGTCTAAGCTCATAGAGTCGTAGTTAAATTGTGTTAAGGTGGCACCTTGTGAGGGACTGCCGCTGTTATTACACCTCAGTGACGTGGAGCGTCTTTCCTCCTTCCGTYTTGCAGCCACAAACCGCGGCGATGWTGTATGGCAAACGGAGTTATCATTTAATCATTAGACAGGCTCTTTACAACACCACTTTGAACATTTAAAACAATTTCCTGAGATAAATGATGTCACCTTTCACACACAAACACATATATATTGAGCTTCCAGCTCCAGATATCTAACAAAATGTTCTTTCCATTGAGAATAAGCATTTTTTGGGGGGTGGGGGGAAAATAAATCCTTCTAATAGAAGCTTGCGTTTCATAAATCTATAATTCAGATATTGCTACTTATTGTTTTTTTATTAGATATCCAAATTTTTAGAAAGGCTTTTCCAGATTTCAATTTGAAATCATTAATAATAATTAAGGCATTCATTGAAAGGATCACCCACTGCCATTCACACGCATTTTAGGCTTCTGTTTTGGAGACAATAAATTAAAATTTTAGTTAGTAAACACGCAATTTTAGGCATTCTGTTCAATTATGATTAAGAAGTGTGTCAATTAGGCTAGGATAAACGCTGTTAGTAGAAAAGTAATTACCATGGGGTGAGATTTTATTATACTACAACGGCTTTCCATACAGGCCGCAGCCTGGGAGCGTGCACGTTTGACGTTCCTCCCCCTCCTCCTCCTCTTTGCCAAATCTCAGCATCCTTAGTTTACCAGGTGTTTAGCAGGTGGGCATGTAGACAGTTCTGTTCTCTGGGTAAAACCTATATCGCAGTTTGTTCAATAAAATCCAATGAATATTAGGTCTGCAAAACATTTTATATTTCCTTTGAACTGAGCAACAAAACTCTATTTTCTATTTTGATTATTTTCTATCAACACAAAATAATGGTTAGAAAAAAAAACAGTTTCAAAAGTGAACCATGTTAAAATAAAAACAAAAGCTTCAAAATATAACAGCTCACATTTTAAACATTAATTGTTCTGAGACATTAAAAATGATGTTTTAAATGACAGTTTTATTTTTTTTCTATCTTGTAATGTTTGTTTTCAAAAATTAATTACAATTATTTATTGTTAGTCATAGTACAAACCTGCTTTTAATTAGGTTTATGATCAGTGTTTGAAGACTTWTTGCTAGGTAATTTAAGGCTGACAAGTTTCTTACAAAATATTTGTTTGTTAAATACTTTTGCATTATTATGCCTTTTTTACATATTGCTTTGCTTGTCAACATATTTCACAATCAGCTGTAATGCAAAATGCTGCAGCTGGGAGCATGTTGCATGTTTGGATGTAGCTTGGAGTCTCTGGTACTGAAAGATTAAAAAACACTTCACAAAAGTTATGATCCTGCTTCTTTTGGATGCCATCTAACAGATCTTTGAGACTTTGAAGGCCAAATAAAACATCAACCACCACGAGATTAGTGAACATTTTTGACGTATGTGCGTAACTAGGCCGTTACACCATGATGGAAGAAATACAGACAAAATAGCTCATTTGGAAAAGTTTTATTTGGTGAAGATCCTGCACAACAAAGAAAATAAAAAGAGATAGATATGCAGCCATTGCTGGACCCAGAGAACAGAATACCATTTTCACATCGTTACACAGAAATCCACCAGTTAACACATCACACCAAATCCTCAGCAGAAAGCACACAAGGACAAATGAGTGGCCAATTTAGATTAAAGCATACCAATTGTTTAACACTCCCAAACAGCTGGAAAAATGCTAATTTAAAACCAGAAAAAGCCTGTTAACAGTGCAAATTGTCATTAAAGGCTTGTGTTCGCTCTTCATTCCTACAGTGTTTATAGTATTGCACACACAATGATTAAAACACACCTGCAGAGCTAAACATTTGCAGACATGCTACAGATTTCTAAAGTGCTAGCTTAAGATTAGATGAAGAGTCAGTCTGTGCATTACTTCGTACCAAATTCAAGACTGCAAAGCAGGACAGAAGATATACTTTAGTGTCTAGTTATACATTTTTTCCTACATTTACATGCAAATGCATCGACTCCCCCCAACACACACAAAAAATAGAAAAAGAACAGTCATTTGCTCTGCCGTTATCAGAAATACATTCTGTGTGGGAATAAAACTGAACCCTGACAGCCAATTCTTAAATGCATAGACGTCTGAAAGTCATTTTTAGACAGGATTCAAGGTCTGCGAGGACTGGAGTGAAACTAGATGAACAGTTGAAGGACTAAATATGTACACCGTCACAGTAGTCAAACACTTCACTTTCAAAGTGGAGAAAAATATTGATCATGGGAAAAGTAAAAAGCCATTTTAAGTTGTACTTTTTAACAAAACAATATTAAACTATTGTCAGAAACGACAGGAAGAGAAGTTTACCACGTTTGAAAATTTTCTTCGACAAAGGCAGCTGAATAGAGCAACATCAGCTTACAGCCATTTCCCCATCAATAGTAATCCACAAACYCCCACTAACTACACAAACCATTATGATTTATTTCACTCAAAATATATACAGGAAATCTAAAAGTCATAGGGTTTTAAAAACTTTATTATGTAATGAAAAAAAGCAGAAAAATAATTCTTAAAAAAAAGCAAAACTTTAAATCAAAAATCKACTGTTTCTATCAGGAGAGGGACAGTGTTTAAGGTTTTCCAGGACTGACTGATAGAGGTAGAAGTATTAGGCCCGAAACTGAGCCAGAAACCTGAGAAAACGCAACTATTACCCTAACCCTCCAGAAATCAAAATATACATAAAATGAACAAACAAACCCTAGTGCAGGCACAAATAAACTACATCTTTGTACAAAAAGTGTGGTCAAAACTAACAAAAAAAAAATTAATCCAGTGTGCCCATTTCCCCACCCGACGACGTCTCTACGTGTGTTCACTTGTTACACTTAACTGCAATTAAAACATCGGTTTAGACAGCAGTGGTGCTGTTTGGTGAAAGCACTTTTTAGAACCTGAAAGAACTCGAGCTGTTAAAAAGGCGGTGAGGCCACGGAACTGTTTGTGTTGCACTAAAAGTAGCACCAGAGTGAATGAGCTTCGACGGTTAGTGTTGCAGCTGTGAAAACAAACATCGTGCTCTTAAAGTTGGACAAGTCTGTGATGCTGAACGTTACAGTGTGCAGTTCTAAAAGTGAAGAGGCTTTTAAATCCAGCATTTTAGTTTTTAAAAGCAAAAAAAAAGTGGAACCCTGTGTGCATGAATGTAAAACAGCAACGTGCAGGCTACTTTTTGTAACATTTACGTAAAAAAAACGCAAGGTAGTGATTAGTGAAGTTACTGTGCAAAACTTACTTTAACTGTGGAAATAATGATAATTAGTGTTTTCAATGATACAGTCAAGTGTAAAACAGTAAATACAAAATCATAATGAATGTCAGTAACTCARTGATCCATTTCCATGAGGAAAATAAAAAGGCACAAAGGTGCTAGCTTTAAAGGTAGCTCTAACCACCTCTCCCTCATTAACATTACATCTAAACCTGTGCTACTACCTTTAAACGTTAAAGAACCAAACATATTTACAAAATAATAAATTTATAGTAATAATAATAAACYTGACAAGAGAGGGAGTGTTAAATGTAGAGGGTGGGTTATGTTAAAAAGATTTAAAGTGACTGCGAGCTGTGCAGCCGATTCAACAGCTGATCCCAGCWGCCAATTAAAAGCAGGTCCAAAACAGAGACTTTGGTATGCAGAGATGCTGGTTTAGATCTACACCAACCTCTGAAGACCTCTGTATGTGGACATGTTACACTACACACGTCGTCTTAACAACAACAAAAAAAAGGCCCTCATAACCATCTTTTAAAATCTGTTTAGATTCAACTTCACCCTGTCAGGAAAACAYAAACGCTCCAAGGATTAATCAGATCTTAAAGCATCCACACCTTCCATTCCTCCTCAGAAAGTCAGTTTTTTAGCAGTGATGAACTCCTCCAGCTGAACCTTCCCGCTGCCCATGAGGCCAAAAGCCGGATACATGGTTCCCGAACAGTCCACCTGCCTCTCGTAAAGGCACCTCATGGTGTCGGCGTCGTAGAAATACACCCGCTGGGCGTCGTAGTCCAGGCACACGCCAATGCGCTGCGGCATGGGCAGCATGCGGTTTCCCGGGTCACCAGACGATGCGTTCGCGCTGGAAACTGAGGAGGAGGAAGACGCCTTGGGGATGAAGAGTTTGCCCATGCCCAGGGTGAGGAGGGTGAAGGGCTGGGAGAGCTCGTAGCACGCGTCCTCGCTGCCACTGTCGTGTCCGCTGTCATGGTCATACCTGCTGAAAGAAAAACAGGTTAATAGATAAAGTCTAGACGGAAACGTTTCAGAGCTGCACCTTTTAAAKCTTTCAGGACTTAATCTGCTGACAGTTTGAACATTTTTTATAAAGCCAAGAGGTTTTTCTCTAAAAAGGTCAAAGTAATTAAATTCAAACAAAAAGACATCACATTAATATTTACATCATAAAAAGCGCTGTGAACCTGAAAGATATTACTCGCTTAACCATTCCACTCACATGAGCTGATTTTCCAGGCAATTTTGTTCAAGAGAGTGGGGAAAAAAGGTTTATTCTACTCTTTAATTACTTTCTGTATTCTGCCTGCTGCTTATCATTTTGCAATTACCACAGCTTTATTTTTTATTTGTGAAAATAAGGTGCTTCTTTACAGGTTTTAACACGAGTTGATCCAGTGAGAAAAGGTGGGCTTTGTCTGCGACTAAGCTCGTTATGAGTTTATACTGCTTTTTTTACATCTCAGCAGGATAAAGTCTGATTTACAGACTTAGCAGTATAATGAGACAGCTTGTGTTTGGTTCTCAGATCTGAGGAAAATAATCTACAGGTTTCTCGGCACAGGTGTGTTGCACGTACCTCGGGCTGCTGGTATCTCTTGGATTGTGAAACCATTCAAGCAGCTTGGTGTCAGATGCCACTCCCACTTTAACCACATACGAGTACGGTTCCACCTTAAAGGCCCAGTAGTGTCTGCAAAAGCAAAATGGCCACTCGTAACCACACTGAAGCTATTTTAAACAAGTGTTAATACTGCAAAATAAGAAGTCTTTGCATACCGTCCCTGAGAGATGCCGGTGTCTCCAATGATGTAATCCAGACCAACGTAGCTGCCCGTCTGCACACGCTCTGCTGCCAGGAGGAAGGCCATGCCTGCCACGCTCTCCACAGCATCCCGTCGATTGTTCAGAACCAGACGCTCCGTACTGAACCCACACTTGTCACTGAACAGGAAGCCAAAAGCTGGATGATAAGAACAGAGAGTAGATTGTGAGTCAATTACAAATAAATTAGGAAAATAAACTTTACAGAAAAAATGAAGGTCGGAGGAAATTGATTAAATCAGTGCGTTTGTAATGAGTAAGTGGCAAACAGTGACACAGGAGGGCGCTATAACACAAGAAATCAGCTCAACCGTTCATAGATCTCCATTCGTATAAAATCATTCTGGTTGCAATTAAAAGCTTTCTAATAATAGTTCACAGGCTAAAGGCCATGATTACCATAATCTATGACTCAAATATATATGACTGTGGCTGCTCACTCAGCCGTCCCACTGCAATCTGAAGTCTGCTCTGGGTGAAGCACTTCATTTGCATGTATCAAGAGAAGTCCTCTAAACAACTAGGGCATGAAAATGTTAATGTAAAGCCAGCTGAGGGGTGAACAGCTTTGATGTTACTTTAAGTAGCAGACGTGCTGCTAGCAGCCATCATGTGACAAAGCAATGGATACCTTAAATCTTACAACTGCATTTTTTTTAGCCCCAACAAGCTCATCACAGCTGAAATACAGAGAATTATATTTAGGTCAGTGATACTTGTGTGTATTCTATGAGATTGGCTTCATATTTACTGTTAACTGATCCATTATTGCTGTCATAAATTCACTGACATTAAATGAAACACCTGAGTCAAGATTCTCAGACAGCGATGAGAATTTAACTTCCTACTTTAAGCTTAAGGCAAAATAAAGTTATGAAAATTGTCATAATTTGAAAAACATGTAGAAATAATGTATGTACTGATAAAGAGTGGAATCACTCCCCAAACTGCGGGTGAAAATCCAAGGAAACTTTACAGCAGCTGAGTCAAGAGTACAATAAAGGACACAATCTCTTACCGAYAGGATATATTTTAAATAAAGTTCAGCAGATGATTAGTGATTACCCACAGTTTTAAATTTATTCTCTTTTTCCTTTTAACAAATAAATGCCAGCAGGAGGAGGAACAAAAAGGGACGGCAGTTTTTTTTTTCCGCCCAACTGTGGCAACACCATCCACTCCCACGCACTCAGACAAAAGCCACACTAGTTTTGGCTGCGTGTTATCAAAAAAAAAAAAAAAACTCTACTTAATTATCTTCACCATGTGAGCTCAAAGGCAATTAAAAATCAAAAACAAAACCATCTGTCATCCAATAATCCTTAAGTTAAAAAAAAAGTAAATAAAATGCTTACTCGGACGTGCTCAGAGAACTAAAGAGAATAGAAGCTTAGCTCTTCCTTTAGCCAAAATGGGGCCCAATAAGAGGMTCTGTCCCTCATGTTAATAAATGCACCTGACATTAACAGCATACTAACACAGCTTGAACTGACTGAGCTTAAAAAAAAAACAAAAACATTTAGATCCTCTGACCATTTAACATTTGTTTTATCCCCTTTCACTTTTCAATCTACATAGGTTATTAAATAATTTAATTAATTAAAATATTTGTATTTTTACTCTGTATGATACATCATTTTAATTTCATTACCATATTTATTCATGTATAATACGATCTCGAGTATACCAGTAATACAATCATCACTTTTTGATCTTACAAAGCATAAAAATCTAATTATCGATAACCCGTGTATAATAATATCCCCCTCACTTTATGGATGATTTTTAGGGTCAAATTTCTAGTATTACACATGAATAAATACAGTAATTAAAATAAAAATGATGTATCATGCAGAGTAAAAACACAAATAAAAGGACTTCATGACATTTTAATCATGTGACTGAGGTGTACCTGGTGCAGGTGGGGTGTGGAAGGTGACCTCGGGGCTGTAGGGGCTGCACATGGAGTTCCTGCAGCTTTGCACTCTGAAGACATACAGACTGTTTGGCTCCAGTTCTTGCACTACAGTGCTGGACCCATAAACTCTGTCTGTGGCCTTCCAGACACTGCTGTCCTCACCGTCCTCCTGGGCCGGGGACTGGCTCGGGCTGCCAAGCCTAATTGGAGAGGGGGAAGGTGGGGGGGGGGGGGTTTACATTTTGCAATATTTTCTTCAATTCAAACCGAGTCGTCTTCTACAGTTGTGTCTGAACCCACTTGCGGTACTCAAGCACGTGGTGGTCAGTAGGCAGGTGGTCATCAGACAGCCTCCAGCAGATTGATGCTTCGTTATAGACTTTGCTGAGGGACAAGTCAATCAGCGGGGGATCAGGAACTGTAACAGAAAATGAACCAGTATTTTAAATATAAACAGGAGCTGGTAAGGCAGAGCTCAAGGTTCACCACAAAAATTACTAGCACAAATGTATTACTCATTTATTTTTGTCCCAAATTTAAAAGTTAAAATCAGTGCAAAATAATTCTGTGTGGCATTTCAGCTTATAATCATTAATCACTGCAAGGGATACACAGATTAGATATGTTTGGATCAAGAGTTTCCACTTAGAGCATGGAGAGTGTGAACAAGAAGAAGTCTTTGCATAATGGATCTTAAAAGGTTTTTACAGACTCACTGCCTGGAAGTGAGCTGAAGTAAAATCATCTCCACCACTAACAGTACTTTTCACTTCCTCTCTCCCACTTAACCTGTCCTCCTTTCACTTTGTTGCTACATTTACTGTCAATCCTTCTCCAGGTTTTGCTGAGAAACAATCCAGTTCTGCCTTTAGATTCATTCAAAACTTCTATTTCATCCTGATTCATGTTAGACAAGTTCTTCAAGAGTCTTTAGTTACCTTGAGTGCTTTCAGTTGGTTTTTCTTTAGAAAGAATCAAACTACTGCAACTATGTAGGTCATATTTTCTACACAGATTACACTTCTTGTCAGAACATCCCTAACTACAGTTGTCTCATTTTGTAAATTCCCTTTTCTATAACTACTTCCTCTATAAATCTAAGTGAGAAAAGTTGGGGGAAAAAAACATCTCAGCCTGACATTATGACTAAATTTCTAGCTTTAGCATCAAAACATATGGTGGAAATAATTTTCTGTTTCACAGTATAAATTATACCTTACACCAGTGGTTCCCAAACTTTTTATCTTCTGACCCACAAAATATCCATGGCAAAAACTTGTGACCCCAAATATTACTGGTCTGAGTACACAAACTTTGTTAACAACCCTAAAAACACAGGCTTTTTGACAATCTAAACAGTTTGTGCACAAATATAAATACTTATTTTTTTTCTTATTTTGTGTTTTTGTAATAATTATAGGGAAATATTACATCAGCAATTATTTTATTACCCTTTAAATTGATTTCTGGAGATTATCTAAAGGTGCTTCATGACCCATATTTGGGTTCCAAGCCCAACTTTGGGAACCAAAGTGCAGTGGTTCCCAAACTTTTCAGCGTTTGACCCACAAAATAGCAGCAGCAGAGACCTGTGCCCCCAACTATTTTTGGATGATAAACATATGTATCAGGTCAACTAAACATGGGCATAGTAACAATATTTTTATACTACATTTATCCATTTTAAATACACTAACCTCACTCCCTTGTAACAACTAAGGCAAAAATGTAATTAATTCAGAAAATCTTTTCAGGATCCCACCTTGATGTTTCAGGACCCCACTTTGGGCCCCGACCCCAACTTTGGGAAACACTGCCTTACACTATATTATTTTTAACTGGCATTCAAACGCAAGACTTTACAGCTTCTTTATAAAAAAGTGCAAATGATCCCATAATTGGCAGCATTTAAGTGAACGATGAACACAAAACTGGGGAAACAAAAAAACAACTAAGCCTTATGGAAAATTCAATTTAGAAAGGTTTATACACAAATATGATTTACTCTATGAAAACATTTAAAATGCATGTTCAGACAAAAAGAAAAAGGAGAGTCGTATTCTTTTCTCGAGACTGTTTCCTGCTGCATCATCTGCCAAGATGGAGTTAAATTACTGCAGCACAGAAACGCTTCCACTGCATCTTTTCCCTCCCTGAGCACAGTGAGAGTGTCGGTGCAGAAAAGGCCTGCAGGCTGACTAGATTAAAGGAGCACATAAATAACACTGCCACCTAAATGTGCCATATATACTATTGCATCCTCTCAAAAAGAATGAAACTTAAAAAACAAACATTGGGGGGGGAAAAAACGCCTAAAGAAGCAAAATTATTCTGTTATTTACTTAAAAGTTATAAATTGAAACATACAGAGGGGAAAAAAGAATTTTGGAAACATTTTAACCCATTTATATGCATATAGTGTTAAATCAGAATAATGCTCAAGTTTTGACTAAAAAATTTTATCCATCATGATATTGATTTAAATAACTGGTTCAGTCTGTCCACTAAAATCCTGAAGCACAAACTCATGCTATCCTCCTCCTCTTTCAGCTTTGGTCACTAACCGTCAGAGACAACCATCTGTTGTGTCGCCGCAATTCAGGAATAACTGATGTGTGCTGAGGTATGTCAACTCCCGTCTACAGTATCAGCAGCACGTCAGCTCCAAATTTTTCATTTCCTACATTTGGTATCGGGGAAAAGCTCTCACTCAAAGTTACAGATTTTATTGGCATCGGAAAGATCTCGGTTATGAGGGCGACCCTAAACTCCTATCAGCTGTCACCACGTCCAGCTGTGACTGAAGGAACTGTCAACACAGGCACCATTTGGAACTAAATACATTTCTGGAGCACGCCYTCTCTCAATCAGCATGTCATAAAARGCTCCCTTGTTATATATGAGCTCAACCAAATGTTAAAAACTATCACTCAGTCACAATAAGATCATCTCAATCTCCCAGAATACATTGAATTCACCAATTAAAATCTGAAGTTTAGAAAAGGTAGTTAAAGTTTTCACTGAACAGTGCAACAAATACATTGTTCCTGCTCTCAATGCATTTTTTTTTTCATTCCCCTGGGTCGTTCGTACCTCWTTACCAAATTTAACTTTGCAGTTTTCATTAAGCATATTTCTACAATTCTACACCCAAAGTGATTCAATCTAAAGATCTGAAAATCTGAAAATCCAAGTCAAAGAATGTGCTTGCGGTAAACAGAGTGGAACAAATTATAGCCATATCTGCATCTTGTCAAGCAGAAAAAAGAATTATGACCCAACAAGCATAATGCTTTATTTAGATTCAGTGGTTTTAGCTTGTACACAAAAATGACAGCGCATTCAGACAGAGAACAGAGCAATGTGTTTATTTCTGACACTTGGATCAACTTTATCTCTGCTGATCATGCTAAGCAAAACTAAAAACAGCCTGTGCAGAACTGCAGATCAGACATGGGCTTCAAAGAGCATGAAAACCTACAATCTGAAGATTCCTGCCCTAAACAGAAACCCACAGCTGACCTCTGACCTCTAAGCACAGCACAATCCACAGGGCTGAGCACGTGACAGGCTGGTGATTACAAACAGCTTATTCTGGCACTCACGTTTTCAATGGCATCATTAAAACCAGCAAGTCTTTATCTGATATGGACATTTCTGTCAATGTACATAAGCGTTGTTTGTTCAGAAATAAAAACAGGCAAAAATACCATGAACGATCCGAGTCACATCTGGYCAAACAGCTCATCAATAAAATAAAATGTAAAAATAAGAGACTGTACCTCCTCCAAAGCACATTTCTTTAAGCAGCGTTTCTTCTTTGGAAGTGTCGAGCACAAACTCATCAAAGCAGGGGTCTGCTGCAGGATGGAAGGTCTTCAGAGAGTCTGTGGCTTTCTGGATTCTGAAAACATACAAAGCAGATCAGAATAAAACAAACTAAAATAAAAACATTTTATTCACTAACCCCTAAAATGAGCAGGTGGTCCAGACCTTTGCAGAGGACTCCTTTCCTTAAGCCCTTGATCATTCAAGASCAAGCAGTGGAGCAGGTTGAGTGTTTTAAATATCTCAGCATAGAAATGGACAKTAGCCTTTCCTTCTCTAAGCATGTCGACAACATTTACAAAAAGTCTCACCAACGCCTCCACTTACTGAGGAAAATAAAGGCATTCCATATCAGTAAAAATGTTTTGGAACTGGGCTACAGGTCATTGATCGAAACCATCCTCATTTTCAGTATTTCAACCTGCTATAGTTTCATTACAATGAAACAAAAAAAACTATCCTGCATCGTTAACCAGGCTAGCAAGATCACTGGTTCAGTACAAAGCCCGCAGTCTGAGCTGTAKAAGGCCTCTGTGGTCAGGAAAGCCACTCAGATCACAGAGGACCAGTCACATTCTCTTCACCATCTTTTTCAGCTTCTCCCTTCTGGCAGGSGTTAGAAAGTTCCCTTGTCCAGGAAAAACATATATTAAAAAATCATTTGTCCCTTCTGCAGTTACTCTATTAAACAAGGCTGCAGAGTTACATCACCKCCCACCCCACCATCCCCCATTTTAGGACTGTTTTAAATTTGGTTGTTTTGTGTGGATATGGGTTTTATTATAGCACTTAGTGTCACTGATAGCTTTTTTTTTTACTTATTTTTGAATGTATGTTTTTAACATGGAGCCCTGTCAAAGATGATTTTCTGTCATCTTTGAGACAGACAATAAAGCTCATCTATCTAAAAATACTTRCTTAAAAGACATGGCAGTGTTTTGTTTTGTTTCCTGGGTTAGACAGTTGGACAAAAACTCATTGTTGACAAGAGAACCAAACATGCCACAGCAGAGTTCTCGTAAGTGAAAAGGTTCCCAGATTATTTAAAGCTGCTAATGCAGCTCAATTAGTCAGCTTAAAGCAGAAAATACACCAACACACAGCTCTGACTGGACACTGCAGCAAATGGCTTTCCTTAACTGCCCTTGGGTTTAGTAACCCGTGAGCACGTGTCCGTTTCTGACACACTCCAGTCACCCCAACACATAATCCAACGCACACAATGAACACTAAAATAAACAAACCAAAGCCAATTTATGAAATCTACAACAAATGCGGTATTCATTAACACAAGAGGGTATTTTTTTTAATGTTTTTAGGCTGCTTGGCAACCATCTCAATCACACTGCTGATGAAAAGAAAATTCATCCTAAGAGTTTGACAACACTGCTACACCACAACAAAACATTTAGTTAAATTTTGTTGCTGTGTTATATAAAAAKCAAATTTATTCACTTTAACCCTGCAACATATTAGATATTCACCATTCAGATTGAACTTCTAGGTCACTTTTACATTACGRACAGGTTATCCATAATAGTTCAGCACTTTATTGGCAACATATTATTCAAAGGAGGTGATCAGTGATCTGCTGCGTACCTGACGTGAAGCTGCTTTGCTGTTTGTACAAAGCAGGACTGATCGGTCTCTTTCAGCACCTCCTGGGCATAGCCAACCAGCCCGCTGTTCTCCAGCATACCCTGGTACTCCTCCACCTAGGAAACATTTTTAAAATTAGTATAATTCTGATTACTCTCAACCCAAAAGTTATTATGCCAACAACATCCTGAGTGGAAATGAAGCCATTTCATGTTCAGTTTGAAAGAAAAAAAGTACACTGTAGGAAAACTACAAGCTAGTTTCATATAAACTAAGTAAATAAAACAAAATGAAATAAAAAAAATATGGGGACCACACAGAAATAAGACCCGGTTTGGCATTTCCTACCTGGCTTTTCAGATGATCCAGGCGTCTGTTACGAGACTGCTCAATGGATCTCAGCATCTCTGATTTTCTTTCTRGAAGAGTCTCAAACAGACGCTCAAAGTGCTCGTTGGCCTGACGCTCCGCTAGCTGCCCATTTTCCTTTAAGAGTAAAAATAAAGAAAATGGGATAAAGACAAATACACTTCAAAAGAACAAAAAAAAAGCATAAATATTTATTGCAGAGTTGCAGGTGAAGCTGAGAACGGCTATTGTTAATTTAAAACTACAGAGCATCCCACGTTGCTTTCATACCACTTAAACACTTGAACGTACTTTGATGTTGCACCTGAATAGGAGAATGATCAAAGTGAAAAGGAGAAAAGGCTTTGAAGCAGAAACGGACGTGCGAGAAGCTAGCTAAACCCTGCATTTCAAGGTTTGTGTGGTTTGCAAATTGTTTTACGACCTTTTTTTTTTAATTCATACCCAGAACGGTTGATTGTGTGGCCACACAGACTGGTTTTTAGAAAGTCATACTTCTATTTACAGCTTTACAAAAAACCCTCAGGTTTTATAGCACAGATTAATCATATTCATGCTGCTTAATAGAGCTATGAACCATTTCCGGAGGCGTTACCATGGGTGACGAATCCTTTTTTTCTACACAGGTTTAAGAAAAGACTGACATCTTCAAAGAACTGAGTTTGGGGAAACATTTAAAAAGAAAAAAAATGAATGGGGTAAAAGGGCATGCTAAAATAAGAGTTTAACAGTGACTTGACATAAAAAGAAATGTTATTTGTRGGGATGTCTTAAAATGAATACAATCGAAGAAGCTAAACTTTTGTGGTGTTTATTTGGAGTTGCAGCAGCATGAGTCAGCACTCTCACCTCGGTCTGATTGATGAGCCGTTCGATCTCAGTAATCTGAGTCCTGACCTGGTCTTCTTTGCTGATGAGGTAATGGATACTCTTGGCCAGCTTCTCCTGAGGACAAAAGAGATCAGCAGCATTTTCAGCAAACAGTTAAAGCCTGTTTGGAAACACACAGCACAAACAATTCAAGGAACAATTGTTCTGAACACCCAAGAATTTCAATTTTAAGTTGTTTTTTTTTTACAGGATTCATGCAGTTCTATTTATGCTTTCTCATATGGGTAACCTGTTCTAAATTGGCTTTTATCATCATTTTTCTTCARATTTCACATCATTTAAAAATTGAAGCTATAAATAGTTCTTGKTCAATGAAAACGTCTGCCACAGACGCAGCAGAAATAAAACTGAAACCTAAACCTTTGCTGAATTGGCAACAGTTTTCCGGACCGCTCAGGACARCTGATAAACGCTGTACCAATAAGATGGAAAAATGGTCTCATTAAATATTAAGCAGCACATTGTTTGTATTCACACACACAAGAGTGCTGAATTTCACTGATTTGGCTTTGACTTGTTGATGCACCTCAAAGATTAATTACTATTCATACATTTTATTTTTNTGTTGATGCACCTCAAAGATTAATTACTATTCATACATTTTATTTTTGCCACTAGCCATATTTAAAAAGTTTTATTAATAAATTTTGAGAACAAAAAGATTAAAAWTAAATCTACACGGCAACACAAATCTGATGGCCAGAAACCCAGGATTTAGTTTCCYATAGGACTGACAGTCTGGCACACAGATACAGGTCAAGCATCAATATTACAATAGGAGTAAAATATCCAAGGACCAGTCAGTACAACAAAACACCTGCTATTAAATGYCTTTTCAGTTTTCCATTAACATCTTAAACACAAACAGCTTCTAAAATCAGGTTAAATGTTTCTACAAACATTGCAGTTTTTGGCTGAATTTAAAGATTTTCTTAGGTAAACATGACTCATTCAAATTTAAAGCAGCTGTGTTAAAATATCAATAGTACAAAGTTCCAGACTTGTTGTTACTTCCTGAGCCATGATGACTTTAAGACACTGTAAACTGTGGCACTGTGTGCATGCTTAGATTAAAGTTTATCATTACTGTGCTGCACTCTAACAAACCAAACCACTTCAGATAAAAACTATTGTATACTCTATCAGCTGATACCTGGACAATTCCCCAACTTATCTTTTCTCAAAAGAACCACAGACTCTGTGTTACCTTCAGGATCTTGTAAGCACTGCTCATAGAAGTGACTTTGTGGTTGGCGTGGGACCCCCCCAGCTTGCACAAGTGACACACGGGTCGTCTGCAGACTTCACAGTACATGTTCACCTTCTCCATCTCGTGCTCCGGACACATGAGCACCTGAAACATTTGGGCGAACACATGCCTCATTATCAAGGGGAGAAACGTGTCCTTGRGGGTGCTGGACACAGCTGCAGACTATACAGTTACACGGGCGACATCATCTACAAAACAAGGAGGTAAAATTAGAGCAAAGAATGCAGACACGCATTCGGCTGTCGTGTTATACGGAACAGATTTCTGCATGTTGGTTTAACTCAACAAGGACTAAACATTAGCTGAAGTGAAACAGGAAGAACACCAAAAAGTAGGCAGTTCAGTGTACCACGTCTTAAAATAATAAGATCTAAATCAGCATTTTTAATGCTAAGAAGTCAAATGTGTCTGCAGTGAGCTAAACAAAGATTTCAAAAACTCTAAATTCAGTTAATCACTGTAAAAATAAATTTTTAATAAATAAAAATTAACATTAGATTCTTCTAAAATATTAGTTGACGCTACTTGCCTTGGGTCTAAAGTTTGTGGTGGGTCCCACATATTCATGCTGAGCTTTGGGGGTGCCCCATGGGTGGTGCAGCTTGAAGCACTCYTTGCAGTAGCTAGCCTTACAGTCCATGCAGCTCTTCGTCGCCTCCTGCTGCTGTGGAGGTTTACAGATGTTGCACATGATGGCGACGGCGGCGCGGGCGGCCTGCCTGTAGCGCTCCACTATATTTTCCAGGGTGAAGTTGCGGAACAACATGCTGATGCCACGTTCGCCCAAGTCGATGTCGTGCTGGCAGCCTGGGCACGGGATGGTGGTGATGCGGGGAGTCACCGACCCCCTGCGCCATCCCGGAGAGGAGATCGAACCTAAACAGGAGGGCAACAGGTCACGAATGAGTAAAGTTCATCTGTGGTAAAGATTCATACCCATCGGGTCATCATGTTTCCAGTCTTGTCTGAGGCCTCATTTGGACATGAAAGCAACAATTTAGTCAAATTGAAAAGAAGAAATTGTTTGAGAGAGTGTCAAAATGGGGCCTTTGATAGAATACCCCTTTGTGTCGAATTCTGGGGCAAATTACATCACCGGTAGTGACTTGCCAAGTTTAAAAGGCAAAAATGTCTTCGCAAACAGGACCTCAGCAAGTTTCCATTTCTGTCTTATTTCCACAATGACAACTGCTCAAACAGAGAGGCATGGCTGTTTGGAGCAAAACCCTCACTACAGGCAATGCAAAGAGAGACTGTCATTCAGGGAAACCAAGTCCAGAAGGAGAAACCATCCAAGAGCACTGGCACAATAGTGAGGTATGAGATACAAGATTGTCATGAAGATGGCATTTTTTTGAGTTTGTAGAAAACCTATTGTTCAATTCATTTAACATTTACAACAGAAGTAAAATCTAATTCAAGTGCAAATAATGATCTGGACAAGAAAAAAATAATTCGGAAAAAATTTGAAATTGGGAAAAATCAATATAAAAAGAAACTTGAGCAATTAAAATGAACTGAAACAAAAAAAATAAGCAAATGCTTAAATAAGTATAATCAAATATCCATTTCAATGCATCAACACTTTGCATTCGAACATAATGTCTCTTGAAGCGACGTCACTTTCAAGAGATTTTCACACTGATCTTGTTAACTGATGCCGCAGCATCAGAACAAGGCAGCAACACATCAACATGAGGTGGAAACAAAAAGCAACTTCAGCACAAAAATCACGTCACAAACAGTCTTTAACACATTTAAAAAACACACTTAAAGCCAGCAAACTGAAAAGTCATTTCACACAAAAATTAAAAGTGTGAGCTTCACGTTTTTGGGGGACAGGGGAAGCGAGGAGTGCTGGATTTATCTCAGTTTGCAAGCCGGTATTTCCACTCCGTTTCCGAGGACCTGAAAATTAAATCAAACACTCCTCAGGTAAAAAAAACACACACAAGGAGACTACTTCAAATAGCACTTCTGCAAACAAGGTGCAGCTGAAGGAAAAGCTGTGACAGAGCAGCAAACGTAACGATGTACTGAGCCACGTGCATGCCAGGTGAAATAGGGATGGTGAAGAGAAAGTTCACTAAAAAAGGTGGAAAATTAGAAGAAACTGAACTCCTGCCTCTTAAAAGCTTATCCTACCAGATTGTAATTGATAATAGATGCATCTCTGATGACGGTGATGAGGGTAAAAATCTTGTTTTAAACTTTAGGTGAAAGGCGAATTGTTTTAGGAAGTTTGCAGGTTTTAAAACCAGCTTTAAAAAAAGATGAGTGATTTTCCGTTTTGCACAACCAACTGGTGCAAAAGTGTTTCTTGCATACACAAACTCAAGTTAGCACAGAAAATCTGAGTCAATAAGCTGAAGTCAGGCCATGACCGCAGCAAAGTGTGTATGGATGTTTATCAATTTGTGGCTCTGCAGAGTTGGATGGCTGAAAATGAAAAATCACTGCAGAGCTCGAGCTTATTGTGTTGTTGTGCTCCTTGGCACAGATCTTCAGGCCAAAAGCATTTCCTAAAAAGTAGCAGCAGTGCATTAACATTTTTATTATCATTTAAAGCTATAGAAATATTTTCTATACTTTCAACATCAAAGAAATTTGAACTACATCCTTAGATTCGGTCAAAGTTAGTATTCAGTCTGGCTTTATTAATCTGAGCCTTCTTAAATCATTACGCAGAAAATAATTACAAGTTAAACTAAAATAACTCCTGATAATTGTTTCCGCCCCACCAAAAAATAAAAAATAAATAAGATCGAGTAAAGTAGCCTAAAGGCAAACAAATTTCAGTCTATAAAACACTTATAAATCCTTGCAAGCCCAAACATAAAGGTTGTTTTTTATCCTCTGTTCAACTTGGAAACAGCAGAACCCTACAGTTATCCATCTCTATAAACCTGCTCCACTTGCCACCATGATTTATAAAGTTAATAAAAAAGTTTAGCCGGCGAACTCGCTGAACACGCATTCCTGTTTCGATCCAGCTCCAAGGGAACTTCCACACCGATTTTGGTTCTTTGTATTCTTTTGGCAGTGGGCACAGACCCACGTCTTCATGTAGAGGACTGGTTTCTTTGTGAAAACTGATTTTATGGTCAATGGACATTTTTAAGAGTCCTAAATTTAGTGCTCATAATTGAATCTACTTTCAGATGCACCTCCTGGGTGTTGTCTAAGGGTTGGTCAGTTGGGGTGGTGCAGATGATCTTGGGGTGGCATACAGAAACTCTACAGAAATTCAGTTCATTAGGGGTGCATCGACTGCAGCTTTCTGGTCAATTACGATCTTTAAATAAAGCCTGACCTGCCAATTCCGATTTTGGCCAATACTGATTTTTTACAACTTGACACGGTCAGGTGTTATAAGACCATAAAACACCTTCAATGTTCCAATCTTATTTTATAGTAAAAGATGAAACAATACCCTTAAAACAATATAAATTTGTTTAACTGGACATGAGTGCTCACAGAAGAGCAAAGGGGACAGTGGCTGATTGCGGACGTTTGCAGAGGTAGATAAAATGGCTTCTRGTGCAAGTATTGGCCGATAATTAATCTCCAATAATTAAGCAAATTGGTGCCCTTAATTTTTATATTTAGGCTACTTTTGCAAACAAGAGRTGGTGAATCTACTTCAATAGGGAGGACAGTAATTTTATAGGGGTGGTAACTGCCTAGTCTACTTTATCATTAGAAACCTTGCCATTCATTCCAAACTTGGTGAGTTTGTTTGGTTGTATCGATCGTGTTGATGCAGAATTTGTAGGGGAAAAAAAGGTAGAACCAAACTAGGGTTTCACAGGGGGTTCTATAGTAACACTGTACTCACTACTATAGCTATTCAAAACACGAAGCCCCCGTCTACCTCGACTTCCAAACGACCTTCCCACTGTGGCTGCAAGCAATGGACAGAGAGGTGAGATGAGACCAACAAGGAAAAAAAATGAAACCATACATGTGAAGTGATGAGTGAATCCAGCCTTTAACATTGTTACACTGCAGACCAAAAGCAAACTTAAGAAAAAAAAAAGACAAGTGTGTTTAAAAAAGAAAAAAACATGAGCATTTTAAACATCTATACAAGGTGAGTATTTAGGGTTTGCATTTTATTATCAGTGCCAAGTTTACATTTTTGTGCCTCTAAAGTTTAAGCATCCTCCAGGACTTCAGTGGAATTTATATTGCTGGAATCTATTTTTTTAATCCAACATACTCACAAAATGGCCACACAACAAACACCAAGAGATAGTTAAGAGTTCAGACAGAAAAGCTTTAGGTCAATACAAAAATGTTAACTATTATTCTTCCACTTTAGTTTTTGTGGACAGTTTTGGGTAGAGACTCTAGATTTTTTAAAATTAAATAAAAGTAGCATTACATTAGGGAACAGATCAGCTAAATATAGCAAATACCAAAGCTAGATTTTACAAACTCTAAAACTTCATTTGCAATAACTGGTAAACAAGCWGTCAGTCTGACAGTAACTGGAAACAAGTCTAATTTTGTCTTGTGCTCAGAATTTTAACGTCTTTTTTTTTAATTTATCAAGCCTTAGGAATTAAGACATAAAATACAAAGCTGAGAAAGAATGCAGACAAAGTTTGGTTAACACGTTCTCCTTCTCATTACAACAAAGCTGATTCAAGCTGCACGCTGATAAATGTTGGCTTAAGTCTTCTTTCTCTCCGTCTCTTCATCTAATCCCTCGTTCATTCCTTCCCGGCAGGTCGCATCTCTATGACTACAGGTTATCTGATCTCCCTGTAGTGGAAGCAGCAGAACAACAAACTCGTTGGTGTTAATTATGTACTTAAAAGTTCACCAAAAAAATGTCTCAACACAGGGATTGAGATTCCTAATCTGCAGATTAAATCCATTTAAGACAGGAATAACTTCACCAAGTAATCCCAGAACAAATTTCACAAGCTCCAGGATTAAAACAAATGCACTTAAGAGGAAACAATATTATATAAAAACTACTCAAAACGATTCCCTCCGTCAGCGAGACGTGAGCTTTGGTTTCTCAAAAGCAGGATTTCATTAATTTCCTGCATCAACAGATGGAGTTCTGTCRGTGAAGAAAGATCTCATTCAAGCAAACTCTGAATGAGGGAGTTTGTGTTGGAGAGCAGAGACTCAATGGGGTTTTTACACCAAAGCTGAATAACTCACAAAAAAGCTGTTCACCTCACTGTACTCCAGAGAGTTTTGTTGCTTCGGGCGTTTTGATTCAGATTCTCAGTGTTCGTTCGTTCTCGGCAACGTGGCATCCAGTTTAATAGAAACCTCAGAAAACCAAACTTTAGTTTTATATGAAAAAAAGCTCGGTGCTTTGGCATTAATGTGAAAGAACTCACTAATGCATCCATAATTTCATTTGCATAATAACGAACCATCCATGAAACCCAGAAAACAAAGACACGTAAGATGTTAGCTTTTCAGTATGTATTTTTGTCACTGAACAAACACTTTCTCAACATTTTGGAAAAGCACTTTCAGAAGTCAAATTACATTTACACAGTAATCAAATTAGCAATCTTGGATCAAAACAACTGTCCCATTGTACTATTTTATTCAGTGATATAACAGAAGAAATTACAGGATGTACAGTAGATTACATTTGGTTAAAAAAAAATTCAGTTTATTTCTCAACTCTGGTTTTAGTTTCCAAATTCTAAAGCCAATWACTGAGAAGCTACTTGTTTCTGTGTGAACTGCATTGTGTGGCAAAAATAAAAAACGTATACAAGTTCAAATTTTGGTTTAATATTTTGTGTGGAAGTCGGACTGCTCTGGTTCTCTCGGGAAAAGGCGGTCCAAAGTGCAAACAGGATGAAAACAACCCGAAGCTTTCAGAAGGCAGAAAAGGCTGCTTTTTGTGTCCCGGAATGATGTTTTCAAGGCTTAGACTTTGACTCGCCCAAACCTGATGTCAGCAGTGCCACGAGTCGCAGCTGTGAACTTAAACACTGTGTTTTTAAAGCTAGATGTCCCCCATTACCTCCCTGCTCGGTTTGGTTTTTAAGAGTTTAAAATCCTGCAAATGAGCTTACAGATGTGCTGAGCTGTCTCGTGTGTTGTGCAACACACGYCTGTAAATCAGATTAAAGGTGGGTTGAAAAATGATAATTATTTTATGTTCCCAAAACATTTTTATACAAATGCAAAGCTCTTCTGTGACTGACGGGGATGTTCGATGCCTCGAGGCCATTTAAAGCAGACAGTAAAGATAATTAGAGCTTCAGAGATCTTGTCAACAGTTGTTTTGGATTCCTTTTTTTCCCCTCAACTTAATGTTGACACAACTAAAGCCCATCAAGTTTCTCTGCAGACGGGATGAAAAGAAGTGCTGACTGAGGGTTACGGCTGAGCGCTAAAATTATTTTAAATTTTACTTTTGCTCGTCATTGTTTATTTGGGACGAGAACAGGAGGAGGGGCAGTGTCTGCACCACACTAATACCCACCCACCCACACACACACACACACACACAATACTTGGCCTATTTTCCCCCTCCAAGCCAACTTTTCAAAGCCCATTCTCTCATTTGCATTGGCTGAAGATTTGTTTATTGCTGCAAGAGCTTCTTTTCAGCACCATTACTGTCCTTGCAAATCAAATGTATGCAAGTCTTTTTTTTTGTTTGCAAACTAAAATACTTTATTTCTGTAGACGTAAATAAGTTCCAGCGTTTAACACCCGCTGAATGAGAAGCCTGCAAAACCGAAAGCTGAAGCGGAAAGAAATAAGAGGAAGATATTCAAACAGGAAGTCGACACAGCTGATCTAAAAATCAMTCCGCCTTCCATGGAAGCCCTCAATAAGGACTGAGATGGATTTGGTGGWGGCATTTCGATGAGGTCTGACCCATCAGCTCCATCCACAATCTGTCCAACAGCTTCCATTAATGTCTAAACATACATAAGTTTCAATTGAAATGTGAGATCCCCACTCTAATCGGATACAATTTTCTTTCTGCACAGAACCCAACAATTCCATTCAGTCGTTTTACTTTCTTACCCCSYGACACCCACCTGATCTCACAAGCCTGTCCAGTCTCTCCAAGGACGGGGACGGCACCCTGGACCTGGGGCTGCCGGGCATGGAGCACTCCGAACCGGCGTCGAACGAGTCGTCGTGGTTCAGCATCAGCAGCTCTTTGACACATTTGTGACAGACGCTGTGCTGGCAGGGCAGGATCAGAGGGTGGGTGAAGAGCTCCTTYCATATCGGGCAGATCAGTTCCCGCTCGATGTTCTTGATGGGGACCTGAACATGACGAGACATGACTGTTAAAAAAATATATGTAGCATTTCTAAAGGGTCTTTTGTCATTCTGATTTTTTTCTCCCCTCACAAGCCTGTCATTTCACAATAAAGATGGTTTACAAACGAAGAATAAAGAACTGTACAGAGTCGCTCCTCWTTTTTTTTTTACTTTTAAAGTGGCCTTTATGTTTTCTGAAAGTTTTTCAAAGTTCTTCTTTGAACTTTGCGTTTGACATTTTTTTAGTCCATGRACCTGACTTTAAGAGAATGTATTGTTTTATTAAACCACTAACTTTAACCTATGAATGCTTGAGGTATAAAAACAGGCTCCTAAACTCAGGGGACGATCCCATACTGTGGCAATATAGCTTTTAAAAATATATATCTTTTAGGCACCGTTACTGAAAAACCATCAACAAGTTTGCACTAAATTGAATTTATTAAAACCTCCCAATTTCTTAAAAACCTTCTCCACTTCAATTTTTTTAAGCTTTTCCTTTTTGCATCTTTTTATTTTAAGTACACTTGTGCAATATGCTGCAATTGTCAGATTGAACTGAAAATGAATGTGAAAACAACTAAAAGGAAAAAATATTTTTGAAAGACTTTCAGGAAGCCTAAGACTGAAGGGTCCAAACCAAAATATTTTAATAAAGTCTGGCTCCTTAGATGCAGAATAGAGAAGTAGTATGAGTAATGCTTTCACAGTAGCCTAGCTACTAAAGTCATTAGTGTGTTGAAGGAAAAMATGCTATTTGCTCTCCATCTGCAAMTTGAGCAACATAAACAACATGWRGCTGCATCAATGAGGTTTTAAGTGGCAAGCACTGGAAACAGATACTGGCTTTATTTTACCTGTATACCTTCAAATTCACACCAACACACACCAGTAGGTACAGACAGCAAACCACCACGTAGTCTTTCCCATCATGTTTCTGATTGCATTACATAAGACAGGATTAACCCTGACTAAATATAGAAAAACGAGAAGCTCACGTTTGAACACACAAAAGATGAGAAGTTGACATTTTAAAAAGGGCAATAACAGCCCATCTTCTCATGGACAGCAACCGATGAGTCTTTTAATCCAGGTGGGGAAACTTCCCTGAAACTCAGCCCAGCTGCTTCAAAAGTCCAATAAACACGAGAGTACAAAAAAATGTTTAAATTACCAAACAAATGCCGCCGTCCGCTAGCAAATACCATCCCAAACCACGAACCTAGAGACTAAAGACAACAATGAGTGGACGACCTCCGCCACGCAGAGGAGCCACTGTTTTCAGACAATGACGAGTCGAAACGAATCAACCGTCCGCACACTTCCCTCCGACTTACCGCAACATTAGTGTTGTTACGCCACATCTCTGCAGTGTTCGTGATTAGGGAGAAGAGGCGGGATGTCAGTCAGAGTTAAAAGTACAAAAAACAAAACAAAAAGGACCACGGTAAAAGTCCAAGCAAACTTGCACACATGCGACGTGAAGATGCCGACAGCAACGGCACCAGAGGGGGGAATTTAAATASAGTGACGCAGCGGAGGGAGGGAGGGAGGCAGCGCGTGAATCAGCAACAACAGCGGTCAGTGCAGGAAGCAGGATGTATGGCAGACCGTTGTAGCATATAATCATACCACCACAACTCTGATTGTCTTTTATTTTACATCAAAAGTAATAGAAATATAATTAGTCCCTATGACGTTTATATTAAAAATCTATAATAGAAATATAATTAGTCCCAATGACGTTTATATTAAAAATCTAATCTATCATATTAAGATTCTAATTCAGTGTGTCTGCAATTATGTACTAAAACTGCTGATTAACCCCAATTAAAGATCCAATCATTACATTCAGAAGTCACATAATTAGCCAAATAAGATCTCCTTGTGAGTGATCTAAGAAGCTATTAATACAGAAAAAAGAGGAAAATGCCCTGTTATTTCCCATTCATCTTTAGTTTTTTTTTTTTTTTTTTTTTTTTTTTTTTTTTTTTTTTTTGTTTCATCAGGTCTGACTTCCCCAAGCTGCTGACTGATAATCAATCTACAAAATTTAGTCTCACCAATGGAGTTTTTGTTTTTACAAAAATATCTCTACTCTGACCACCTGTGCTGAAAAGCTCCTTTAGAGCCATGCAGTTCCCATCACTGCAGACAGGACAATATCTGCTGATGAATGCAGCCCCATGTCCTGCCCCATAACTACAAATAAATAAAAACACTGAATATGAAAACATTTTAAATTTCATTATAAAACATACAGAACAAAACAATAGCCTTTACAGCAAGGTTAACAACTACTTTCTGGGGGGCATTTTTTTGCCCCCCAAATGGGGCACCCTTATGAGCGCACCTGCTAATAAATAATTATAACTTGGGTTGGTGTAGGCTATCTGTTCATGTTTTTAAGCACATATAAAAATTATGATTGTTAGAACAAAAAGCATGACTGTGTTGAATACAAAGACTGCAACACCCACTTATACTGCAGTTAACTGGTGCCTGTGTGCAGCAGTCACCATAAGACAGACTGGTTGGTTACACCCTGCATGGGTCACAAGTTCATCTCAACACCAAATAGTGATTGATTTCACCAAATATGGCTGCACTGAACCAGTTGCCTTCGTTCTGCTCATTCCCACTCCCTCACAGCTCCAAGCATGCATGGCTTGTGCCAACTTGGAGAGATAACATATCACCACATTCTGGCAATTTGAAGTTATCCATATATAGAAACACAGACACACATCAGAACTGCTCTGTCTCTGCACACAAAGTGGCCCACATAGTGACAGTAGAGTGTGATTTGATCTGTCTGCAGCAAACACACCCAAACCCATAATGTTAATTTTACTCTGTGAAAATAGAAAATTAGATTTAAAAAAAATAAGCCTATCCTATAACACAGAAGCTTATATTTATACAGCATAGACTAAAAAAGAAGCGTGTGTGTGTACGAGAGTGTGAGCACCACTCCCCGGCTCCGGTCAGCCCCGCAGCCCGGCCTCGCGCCACTGCTGCCGGCTGCTCTCTGACAGACAGCCCGCTGCTGTCAGGAGGAGGACCACAGCTCATCCGGAGGATGAGACCCACCTCGCCCCGCTCGATCCGCTCCACGATGACGCCGAACTCCGTGATGTCCTCAGAGTCTGACATGGCTGCAGAAGATGATGATGATGATGACGAAGATGCAGATGCAAACAGGCTCTGACTCTGAAAAAATAAAAATGTTTAAATGCGATGAGAGGAGAGCAGAGCCACCATCAGCTGCTGCTGCTGCGTTGAAGGGGAGGAAATGAGCTGCGTCTTCAGGGTGGAAGGTGAGACGACATCAAGAAACAGGAGCTGCTCCGCGGATCGCATCCATCCCTCTCTCCTCCCTCCCTTCCTCTAGAAGCTTATTTTTGCTGTCAGGAGAAGCTCCAGTCCACGCGCCCGCTGCTGATTTATTTTAGTCAGCTTCATGTTGGAGGGGAAAACCCCGCCCTCACGTTTCTACCCACAGCACTGTACCGTGTCCCTCAGCGGAGACGTCTCYGCTCACAGAGCTCTTTGTATCCGTCATCTGTTCCCAGCCCACCCCCCTGAGAGAAAACCTCCTGTTTTATCCATCATCAGGCTAAAAATAATCAGAATGATCCCATTCTTAAGACTATAAAATGGGACTAAGGAGGTCTTTACTCTATTGGTGCCATCAGGTCAAGTTTTACGCATGGCATGKGCTCATAGGTGCCCATTTCTGTGCACGCCAACTCTTTGTTCTGGTGTGTTTTTTATTTATTTATTATGATTTTTTTAGGAAGCGGTGTCGGCCTGGAATGTGAGGCGGCAGCTATAACCCAGATTAAGTTCGCATTTCTAATCTTTTTTTTTTTTTTTTTTTTCTGGCAATGCCACTTGTTCCGCGTCAGCAGATGGTCTCCATGGCTTCATGGTCTGTCCACCCTGTTGAGCGCGTGGAAAAAAAAAAAAGAGAGAGACAAACGGACACAAAGCAAACGGAGCATGACCAAATTAATCTTCTCCAAATGGAATCGCTGACGTGATCTGACATCAGTGGAGCAAACATGGTTTAAGATCTTTCTTTAAAAGGTCACATCTCGGGGAATAAATATGAAACAAAGAGGAGTACATTTTTAATTCTTTTGTTTGCTCCAAATGCACAACTCCAATTTAAAAAAAATAAGCATGTGTAAATGTGTAAAAATATAAAAACAACTTACATATTTCATAAACCCAAATGTACAGTGGAACACAAATATTTCATAAACCCAAATGTACAGTGGAACACAAAAAAAAAAATCATTTAGTTGATAACCTTTTGAACAGACAAGGCAACTTTGAACCCAGAAAAAGTATGAGTAAGAAACAACTTAAGGAGCATTTTTCAACTAATTGGGTTAATTAAGAGGACTGGATATACTGTAAAAAGATAATTTTAAGGAGACCGAATCTCTCAGAAAGATGGACAGAGGTTCCCCAGTCGGCAAAAAGATGCGTCTAAAAAGAGTGGAAGAATTTCAGAATAATGTTCCTCAACAAAACATTTAAGGCATTTCAATATAAAAGCATGCAAGAATCAGGAAAAAACCTCAAAAGACAAGGTTGAAAGTCAATGTCCGTTATTTTCAGCAGGTAAAAAAACTGCTCTGTGATCAATAATCAAAATGTGAACATAAACCACAAACACCCTAGAAGAGAGGGATGAAAAACATGCCTCTCTGATGGTATGTGGGTGCATTAGTGCCTCTGGCATGGGCAGGTTCTCAAACAACATACGTTGCTATGATATGTTTTTAAGGAAAGCCTTGAATAGTTCAGCCAGACAACGCTAAACCATGTTCTGCAGCATACTGTATATGGACTTCTAACTTTTACTTTTTTGTCTAATTTATTTTTTTGTCTGGACGTGAAGATGCAACAGTTAGGACTGAATATGTTTCTAATCTAATGTACATAAAATATTTAGGCATGCCTAAAGCAACAAAACTGTCTAAATACCTTTAACAGATTAATATGCAGTAATTCAACACATATCACAAGAAACAACACATGTATTTATGTTCACAGCAGTCGGGTTTTTGGAGTTTAAAAATGCAAATAAAATGAAGGATCAGAGGGTTCACTTGTACAACCACTTTCCTTCAGTGTGGTGGGAAATGAGCTAATTAGGACTCATCATATATGCAGTGCAAACGGTCCAGAGGGAACACAAGCTCTTGTATCATAAGAGGATAAAAAGAAAAGATCTGGAAGAGTCAAAAATGAAAAACTGAGGTCTTAATAAAGCTGCAGTGATACTCAATGAGAACTGAAATGTTACATGATCCACATTGAAGGAAAATAATTCACCCTCTTCATCAGTTATTTAATGTTCAAGAATTATGAATTTGTTATAGATTTTATCTGCCGAGTTTTTTTAATGTCCCAGTGCTCATATGTAATATAAAGGGCGATGATTTTTAATTGTCCCATAAAAAGCCACATAAAGCAGAGTGCTCCCTGAATAATTAATGTCACATTGATTGACATGTTTTACAGTGTGGAGTGACTTTGAGTTAAATAACCACAGAGAGCACAGTGGTGCCTATGGGTTATTAAAACACATGATCCAACATGACATGAATTAATATTAATGGGCTGCATTTAAACAGGATAGAAATAGCTTTGATCAGGATGAAGACATCAGAACATCATCAAGTTCTCAGGTCTTTGTCCATGGAGAAAACGTCATAAAAAAGCAGATTATGGCATCTGGAGTACATCAGATGTGACCAAACCAAATATACAGTATGTTTTGTTGGTATAAAGTAAGTTATATGTAAGAAAAGTTATCTAAACCCTTTTTTTGAATTGCCCAAAATGTGTGACGAGGGGTTAATAATAAACTAAACATCCAGATTGCAGCCTGTTCCATTTGTGTGGCTCAGATTACAGCGGCCGTGCCAACTGTAGTCTGTGACGAGGCCGTGCAGCTCCCAGGTGGGAATAGATTGTGTGTGCGCTTCCATGTGTGTTCAGTGAAATTCCCCCTCCTCCACCGCCTTTTAATTAGGTCTTAGTCACTGACCTACTAAAGAAAGAGGAGCACAACGCAGGAAAATGAGGCAAATGAGGAAAATTGTCATCTTCGTGTTTAAAAATAGAAAAATAAAACAACAGTTGAGTCACTAAACCACATGCTCTGTCTTTCATTTGAGAAACCTCTGTGGTAAAACCTGAATTCAGAAAGGAGCAGGAACAGAGCTGTTGTCTGACCTGAAGATGATCATTATTTTTAAAAAAAAAGTTAGGATCAAATCACTCCTTACTTCATTTCTAATTATGTTACTAGTTTTCCAAATATAAAAACCCAGTTTATTTTGGTTTTGCACACTCAATGGCTTTGTGTGTGAAGACTGGGAGAAGAAAAAAATCATATTGATGCGTTTTTTTTTTTGCCACAAATTTAAAGAAGGCTGAATAAAACCAATTACTTATTTGTAAGAAAGAAATAAATTGTGTAGGTCTTCTGGATGGGTTCTTCTCTAATGAAACGTTTTGTCTCTCCTCCAAGAGACTTCTTCAGTCTGAGAGTTTCAGGCAAAATTCAGGCTTTTGAGCCCTGCCTTCATGTGACTGATACTCACATCACATGGCTATCGTTGACAACTAATTAACACCTATTGTTAACAGGGGGTGGAGTGATACTGGCAATAGCAGCGCTGTAGGAGGGGGACAACTGAAAACGGAGGCCTCCACCTCTGTTTAATGATGGACGGTCTTTCTTCATAATCAATCCATCATTAAACAGAGGTGGAGGCCTCCGTTTTCAGTTGTCCCCCTCCTACAGTGCTGCTATTGCCAGTWTCACTCCATCCCCTGTTAACAATAGGTGTTAATTAGGTGTCAACGATAGCCATGTGATGTGAGTATCAGTCACATGGAGGCAGMGCTTAAAAGCCTGAATTTTGCCTGAAACTCTCAGACTGAAGAAGTCTCTTGGAGGAGAGACGAAACGTTTCATTAGAGAAGAACCCGTCCAGAAGACCTATACTTTTTTTTTTCTTTTTGATTTTTTACCTGGATTACTGAGATGCATCAGGACACTTATTTGTAAGATTTCTGAAGTCATATTTCAGTTTAACCATTAAGCTAATCTATCTGCTGATATGTCCAAGACACAGCAGGACTTCTTCAGGAGTGATATGAACTGAAGAAATACATTTTGCTTTAGCAGATTTCACAAAAAAAAGTTTTCCTTTTCTCGATCTTTGTGACAAACACAAAAAGCCACAGAAACCAAGCTGCTGTAAAAGTTAGAGGTTTTATTTATCATACATACAGTTTTGCGTGCCGAGCTCGAATCAACATAACTCTATCCAAAACCAAAACTGAAGCACTAAAAACGCATCACACACTCACAAACATCTGCTTATTTACGTCCTCTGACCATCATACGCTTCCTGTTCTTCGGCACTTTCACAACAGAAGTCACCTATTTATATTCATTTACAATTTTTTTTTACACTGAATCCTAAAAAGCATAGAAAAAATAAATTCCGTTACAGTTTGTTACATCATTTCGATACATTATGTATAGCAGTGCCTCATGACAGGACAAGCTCTCATGATCGACTGCATGTGGGATATTTTGGCTGTGTGTATTTTAGAATCCGTTCACAACTCCTAGTGCAGCAGCTGTCTCTGAAACACAAAGCTGTCGTCTCCACATTCTGCAGTAACATGATTTCAGTTAAAGAAAAGAATCATGAGATGGAAYCGGTAGATGAAAACGACAGAAGTGACAGATTCATGCATTATTATTATTATTTTTTTAATCCTTAAGCATTCCTGGGTTCAATCTCAGTAAATTAATCCCTCCTGATCAGATTAATCTGATCATGCCAACAAGTTTAACACTGAAAGGAAACATGAAACGTTTGTCAAAACGCAGATGTGAAGGTCCAAAATACATACAAGCTTTCTTCCACTTTAGATAAACTAAGTCTACAACAAAAACCTTTGAAGAGAAGCAACTTAAACAACACGACARGAGGCACGCTATGGAGGCAAGCTGGCAAATGAATCCATGTGAATAAAAAAAATAAAAACAAAAACTGGGGCATATGAAGARGCAACGACTCACTAATAAGAAAATGTTAAATCATATATAATGCAAACAAAAGCAAGCTCAAAACTGAATTAATAATATTATGCAAGTTTGAGATTCAAKTCAGCAGCTGCTTTGTTTCCCTTTTTATAAGCAAATATATACACACGAACAGTATTTAAGAAAAACAGTTATAAAGTAAATGTTGCAAAGCAGGTTTCAGGCCTAAGCGGTAAAATAAAACAGAATATACTGCTTTTTAAAAAAAAAAACTGCAGTTTTTGCATCAAAGCTGGGCTCCGGGTCTGGACTCAGAGAGGGAGGGGGATCCAGTCCCCGACAGTTTACTTTTAATAATAGATGGCTCCGATTATTTATTTATCCCCCTCTCCTCCCATGTTCTCTCCTTTCCTCTGTCCTTCCACATATGAAAAAYATCAGAGTTTGGCAGAAGCAGAACACAAAGCCAGAGGTTTAGTTTGGTTTTCTATACTCCTGCAGGTACAATGAAGCAGACAAGCCGCCTGTTTTTCCACATGTTTCTGCTTTGCTTCGAGACTGTCTCGTCCTCGCATGTCATCTCGGGGCTCAGTTGTTTGCTTGTGCTGTGGCCTCATTATGAGAGAGAAGTGAATTCAGACTGGGGTGCAGCAGGGTCTGAAAGCCAGAAATGTTGCTTTGCTCTGAGTTAGGACAGCTGGGGTGAAGGCAAGAGGTGCAGGCAGTTTGACCGGATTAGCTGAAGCTCTTTTCCAAAATCACCAAGAAAAAAAAGCTTAAAAAATATTTGTATATATATTAAATGTTTTAAATGGCTGCCACCATCAATGTAGATGGTTAATCGGATGACAGAAAAACCTCGYTCGAGTGTTCCTGACCATACGTTTCTGTTTGCTGAACACCTGAGCTCATTGTTCATTGTCCCACTCTACATCCTTGTTGCGCTGAAAAGAATGAATCACAGAAGTTCAAAAGGAAAATGTTTCCTCTGGTTGTGATGCCGTTGTCTATTTTTGATTCACAGCTGGCTACAACCGTACAGAGACTAAAAACCAAATTAAAATGAGTGCAGTTCAGACGTTGCAGGTTCAAATACTGCAGCTTAAATGTGTTTCAGATTCCCAACTTTCTGCAAATTCCACAAAAGAGAACAAATACTTTTTTTTAGAATTAAGGAAAAGGAGGAAAGAACAGTTTAGGAAATCTGAAATGAAAGTTTTGGCTAAATCTAGTTTAAAATCCTTTTAAACAAGATATAGATTTTCCCCTTGAGGTAGTTTCAGATGTTTTTTTTTCCTATTTTCACTCAAGCAACTCCATTATTATTTAAATCTTTTGATCTTTAAATAAAAGGCCTGCAGTGGTGAAACTAGAGGATGTAGCAGTGAGAAGCTTAGAGACACTGTCCCTGCTGAGATGATCTTAGAATGAGGAGCTCCAGGCTTAAAATTGGTGCAGATTTTATGTTTTAAGGAAAAAAATAAAAATAAAAATAAAGAGCAGATTTTCTATAATATTGTAGAGAAGGGGAAATCATTTTGTGTTCTGCAAACAAACAAAAGTGTGCTTTAAAAATATATCAGTAACCAAGGCAGCAAAGAGGTGTGGCATATGCAATATTGCTCAACAACAACAACAACAACAAGTGGCTTTAGATGAGTTTCAAATAAGGTCTCTAAAGTTTAAACCTTTGCAAGGTTCTCTAAAGCAAAGCCTTTTGAGAAGCCGGATGTCTTTAAGAAGCACGCGTCGAGTCACTTCTGACTGACAGCTGATCCAGATTACTGAACCTGTTCAGATTTAAATCATCCTGCTGTCAGTGCCGTCCGCCACAGCTGCCAGTGTTCTCCCTCCACGTCTGCTGCAGCTGCTGGAGGTGCTGAAAGGCTCTCTGAGTGATGTTCAGAGCCGGGTGGACTTTCTGCAGACTGGGCTCTCCGATCAGAGACAGACCGCACAGACCCAGGTAGGCATGTAGGGGGTCTGGAGGAGAGAGAAGCATCGCGAGGGGTGGGAAGAGAGGACACAAAAAGAAGAAAATAGGTCAGGACTGGTAAAGTGTGTCAAAGTAGACGGATCGACTGGACTGTATGTTTTCATTATTATAGGATATGACCATTAGCAAATGATTAAAACAGTGGGGTCGAATCCTGGTTCTTGAGGGCCACCATCCTGCATGTTTTAGATGTTTCCCTGCTCTTCAGCAGCTCTTCAGGTTCAGCAGAAGCTTCTTCAAATGAGGAGCGTCAAAGCAAAGGAGCATTAAACCAGTAGATTTAAATCACAAGCAGTGTTAGTTGTAATGCCCCTTTAAGTAAATATATCCTGGTTGGTCTGTTGACCGTTTGTCAAAACGTTTTTCAATAAAATTAACTTTTTCTTTATTTTAATTATCAATCTTTACTGCTCCTGAAATTTAGGAGATACCGGTAATTATTTTTTCCAATCAAACTTTGTGACAGTTACAGTCACGGGGCTGAGAGTGGAAAACAATCTTGATCCTGAACTTCTTTTTTCAGCATTTCTTCCTGCTGGATTTGAATCTAAGTTTTGTCGAGACATAAACCAGAGTATGAGTAAAGCCACAAAATGAGGACCAAAGCCACGTTGGCCATAGTCATCTATTAATTATTATTGGCTAAATGTAGGGCAGCGCAGCATATGCGGTAGACAGTAGAAATGGTATGAAGTTGGCCTACAGTAGAAATTTACCCTCTACCGTCCTGTCGTCAGTTACGRCATCGCACCTGTGTCAACAGGGCTGCGAGTGCAGAGACAACTGAGAAGGAGTTTGAAATTTAATAAAGAAATTCTAGCGTTTTAAAACACGTATACAGAGAATAAATCCTCAAATTTCCCCCTCCCGTTGTAGAAAAGTGACATCGGGATCATGTCCCCGGCTCTCCCGCAGCACGTCGTGCAGAGCAAAGCTTTAACAACTGTAGTGTTTTCACATTCAAGTTGTCGGAGAAAAAAAAACAACTTGTTTTTTTATGTATGGTTACCTACAGAGATGATTAAAAAAGACGTGAACGTTCGTTCAGTCATAAATCCATCTTGCTAATGTAACAGTTATCTTCTGCTCTGATGATGAAGATGAGCGTGCAGCTGATCAGTTCAACAGGCAGAAGCTCATTGTATGGCAGGCAGATGTTACATTTATTTGGCTTCACCACACACATTCTAGTTATCTGAAATTGTTTTATGACTATATGCGCACACTTAAGCCCCTTGAGGTCCTGTCACACTAACATTTTATGCAACATTGAATTTTTTATGTCTAAATGACTAATTTTACTTGAAGTACTGGTTATAACATCCACTTTATTTTGATATTGTTGAAAATTTGAGAAATGTATTTGTTTGTGGTCGAAACTGTTTTGCAATTTATATAAAAAAATCTTTTTTACTTCAGTTATGTTCATTTTCACTACAGCAAAAATGCTGGGTTTGATTATGATTACAGTTTTCTGCAAAAAAAAAGGCTGTGAAATGACATTATCTTTGCTTTTTATGATAATTTTCTATAGCGATATATACAGTTACCGTGAATGGATTCAATTTATACCGTGATATGAATTTGAGGTCATACCGCCCAGCCCTAGCTAAATGTCAAATATTCGTGATGTTTTTTTTTTTCCAGTATAGTTCAACCTTAGCAGAGATCCAAGTCCCACCTTCACCATACGTCTGATTGGCTAGTAGACCCATCTGGTGTGTTTAAAGTGACAGCTGCACCTCTGTTAGGTTCAGAGAAGTGTTTGTTAAATCTCTGGGTGAACCAGATTTTATTTTTTTCCTGCAGATACGCTACACTGGAGATCCAGCATGGCACCAGAGTTCCATCAGCTCTGCAGTCAATATTTTAAAGTATTTATTTCAGCAGGTAAATAAGTGTTTTGTTTTGTCTTTTTTATTTTCCTGATGTAAAAATAGATTTTCAATACTGATTTTAAAATCTGTAAATTTATAAGAGACAAGCAAAAACCTATTCTTATAATCTGATCCTCAATCAACAGCTCTGGTAGTTTACAGTAGGATTCTGTGAAGTCTGCTTGAGGGGATTTTAAAGATTTAATAGTCAGCTGAGATTAAATTACTTGAATTTGACATTTTGGTCAACATTGACGTTATCCCATATTTTCCACAAACTCTCCCTGAGACAGAAATTATATATATAAAAAATGTTTCAACCACTCAACCGTGATAAGTTACACACTGAGTGCTTTTGTTCCATGTAACCCTTATTACCCCATCCACTGAAACCAGCTCCTGCACATCAGAAGCTACATGAGACACTCTAGACCATTCCTATTGTTTATCCTGTTCCTTTTCTTTCTTAAAATTCTTCAGCGTTCGGCAATTTTCACAAGGCTTTGTGTATTTATTTACGGTTTCCTAAATGTCTTATTGTAGTAACATGAGGAGGATGATCTCTTGTGTCCTCTGAACCATCGCCTCATCAATTACACATTACATGGGCAGGTCGCGCACGCACGCATGAACACACACACACACGTTTAGGGTTGCAAGTCTTTCCACAGATCGGATACACCCAGCAGCCACAGCCCCACCCCAGCCTCGCTGCACCTGTGGAGGAGGTGAGGGACAAACGGTCTGTCGGAAAGAGAAGACMATGAGCTGAAACTGCTCAGACCCATGAGCTTTTTGTTCCTAATGAGAGATCTTTTAAGTTACAGGAGAATGAGTGGCCACTTCTACACYGTCATTAAACCTATTATTCAGCCCCGCTCGGCTCCTGCGGCTTTAACAGCCTTATAAAACCTCAGGGATTAGAGTTTATGGAYACTAAAAACAGCAGCAGTGGCTCAATGAATGAGTGTTTTACTTGCACTGATAAATAGCCTTCTCTGAGCGTTACGTCGTTTACCTGGATGGCTGTCGGGCCACTTGGCGAAGCCGCCCACRAAGCGGTCCTGCGTGGACAGAATGAAGCTCCTGTTCTTTTCAAAGTTGGTGTACTTAAACACGTCTAACAGCTGCAGCAAGAGAAAGAGAACACAGGAGAAGAACGTTTTCCAGAACCAGATTTAAACACAAACTACTTTAAAATTAAAGATCAAAAGCATCAACGCGTAATTTAAATACAACAAACTCGTCGAGACATGCGGCAGAGCACGTGCGTTTGCTTTCGTTGTTGCAGCTGTCTTTACCTCCAGCGTGGCTCCCACCCAGAAGGAGTAGCACGTGTCCACAGGCTTGTGGGGCCGTCCGTGGAAACCACTCTGCTGCCTCATGATGCACCAGCGCCGTATCCTGTCCAGCTCCCGCTGACTCAGCGCCTCCTCCAGTCGACCCATCAGACACAGCGAGGCGATGGCGCAGAACGTCCAGCCGCCTGGACACGACAGAGGACACGTGTATGAATCAACCCAGTATTAAGGTCTGTTAATGTGTTTTCAACAGAATCAGGATAATAAAACACAGAAGAAGCATTTGGGATCATATAATCTAAAAATAAATGATAGCATGCTGCTTTTCTAATTTTCATTTGTTACCTTCGCCAAGGGCGAGGTAATGTTTTCAGTCGCGTATGTCTGTCTGTCTGCCTGTGGACATCATTACTCAAAAACTTGTGGACGGATTGTCATGACATTTTTACCACATGTGGGTACTGGGCCAAGGAACACACCTTTCAATTTTGGTGATGTTCTGGATCACGATGCAGATACAGGATTTTTTTTCTTTTAACACTCTGAGATCAGCAAAGCTGTGATGCTTTCACAGGGCTTCTGTAAAAAACAGTGAGCTGGATTGGACAGCACGGACTTCAAACTTTATAAAAGTAATGTTAAAACCACATTTAATGATGAATAATTTTTGCCATAATGTGCACATTTACAGAACGCTTTGTGACCAGGAAGTGCGTGACTGCACCATGAAACCTATTTTTCCCATTTCCTCAAACACACCACATTTCCGAAACAACCAATCAAAACAGTTTCTCGCTAGAGAGCTGCCGGGCCTCAAAGTTTGGAGACGGGGGGAGCCAGGAAGCACTTTATAAAGAGAGTCAAACCATTACAAACTCATTCAAGGGGATAAAACAGACGTTTTACAAGATGAAACGTGACTGATGAAAACTTAGGAGCTTAATCAGACACCAGTTTGATGATGAATAACGTCGGGTGACGAGTCTGACTTTTTTTTTTTCACATTCAACTCCACCGAGAAGAAATTCCGTGCATACTGTCTGCTTAAATGTTCACTAAGTCAGAACTTATTCGGCAAATGTGTTTCCATCTCTGCTTTTGCYCATTAACTCTTACAGGATGGGAGAAATTGGTCTTGGCGGAGGTTTGCACTCTCCGAGTGCTTCTAGTTTTCTTTTAAACCTCAAAATTTAAATTAGTATTTGTAAAGAATGGAATTTATGAGTCGTCGTGAGCTTCCGAGGAAATAAATYTGTTTCCTAAAAGAAATTAAAGTGCAAAGTTAGGGACAGAGCAGCTTTAAGATGAAAGCCATAAAGAAAAAGCCGAGCGTTCATCAAATGATAACAGGCTTTTGCTGCAGCCTGCTTATCTGTCTGTGGTTAAAGAGGTAAATCTGCCATCATGTTACAGCTGCTACTAATCAACCAAGCCTTGTTCAATAGCTGCCGGATGCACACGGAGAGGAAATAAGAGGTATATAAATCTGAATCGGAAACTGAAAAAAGTGTATTTGGGGCAATTAGGCCATAAAAAAAGCTGAATAATGCAGAAAAGGGGCCTTGGAAAATCTGATAAATATTTAWTTCTGCCGTAAAGAGACAACATCTTTTAAAATATAGAGGCAGTAGTAAAAAAAAATTCTTTTGAATATAAACCATGCACAGGACAAAAAAAAATCCAATTTCATGCCCAGGCACAGGAGTTTCTTTAATTCCATGTTTCACAAACTGAGCTACACAATTATCAACAACACTAGAGTCTGTGCACATCAAAAGCAAGTGTGGGAGGTCTTGGTGCTGAACAAACACACACACACCTCAAGGGTAGATGGGTAATGGGCTTCAACTAAGCGTCGCTGTTGATGTGTAATCAATCCGCAGAGAGTTGGCCGACTCAATGGAGCCGATAATCGCAGGACTCACATTTATCACAAGGAGAGAYTTGCTATAAACCCTCAAACCGTTTTAATTTAATCATTTTCACAACATTAATACCAAATACTTCCATCACCATGACAAGAAGATTAATACAAGTCTGTTCCCAAGCAATGTTTTGAAGGTTGAAGGCTTTTGTGTGTCAGAATAAGAAGGTTTATGTGAGTGGAGCTGGGATTAATGAGAACAATGTAGTGTATCTATAGAGCTGGCTTTAAACAGTTAATCCTTTAAAAGCATTTCCTTCCCTCACTTTCATGCAGTTTCTTAAAACGTGTTTTTTTTTTTGTGCGCGACAGAAAAAAAAAATCAAGCTCAATCACAAAGATTAAATCTAGTCCAAACTCAAACATTTATGGGAAGTAATTTCTTTTACAAGTTTTATTCTTCAACAAACATCCCTTTGAAGCTCACAAATCACCGTGAGCTCGGATCTTTAATTTATTTAAAAGCACAAACTCACCATGGGACTCTCTCCCAGCTCCCTGGCCAAACGCGTTGTCATAGGACTGCAGAAGGGGAGAAAAAAATGTTTAAAAAATTATATATGTTAT